ATTCTGACCCTATGTACAACATAACAAAACACTGTCTAGCCCTTTGCCATCCTCACAATTGCTGCTATGCTTGCACCTATTGCTGCTGCCACTTGTGCCAATGCATCTCATTGGGTCTCCCTCTTTTTTGCTGACCCTGCACTTTACAAAAAATAATGTCCGTCATCAGGGACTGGTCCCTCCTGAAAATATGTCTAAAGTATGAGAAACAAAGTCTAGATATCTTGAATTCTAAGGAGCATTCTGGTTGTTATATTTATTCTAAGACATATTAGTTTGCTTTTCTGGCAGTTCATGGTACCTTTAAAATTCTTCTCTAACATCATAGCTCAAATACATCAATTCTTCTATGGTCTTCCTTCTTCATGTCCAACTTTCACATGCATATATAGACTATTGAAAATACCATGGCTTGGGTCAGGTAAAATTTATTCATCAAACAGATGTCTTTGCTCTTGAACACTTTTCAAAGGTTTTGTATAGTAGATGTGTCTTATTCATTTGATTTCTTACAACTGCTTCCATGAGTGTTGGTGGATCCATGTAAAATGAAGTCTTTGACAAATTGAATCTTCTCTCCATTTATCTTAATGTTGTTTATTGGTCCATTTGTAAGTATTTTTGTTTTCTTTAAATGGATGTTCAACCCATACTGAAGGCTTCATGGTTATTGTTGTTGTTAGATGTCATCGAGTCGGTACCGACCCATAGCTACTCTATGTAAAACGGAATGAACTACTGTCTGGTCCTGGGCCAACCTCACAATTTTTGCCATGCTTGAGCCCATTGATGTTACTATTTTGCCAATCCATCTCGTTGGGGATATTCCTCTTTTTCTCTGACCCTCCACCTTACCAAACATGATTTCCTTCTCCAGTGACTAGTCCCTCTTGACAATATGTCCAAAATATGAGAGACGAAGTTTGGCCATCCTGGCCTCCAAGGAGCACTCTGCATGCACTTCTTCCAACACAAATCTGTTGGTTCTTTTGGCAGCCCATGGCACTTTCAATATTCTCTTTCAACACCATAATTCAAAAGCATCAATTCTTCTATGGTCTTTCTTATTCATTGTCCAGCTTTTGCATATTTGTGAGGTTATTGAAAATACCATGGCTTGGGTCAGGCACACCTTAGTCCTCAAGCTGACATCTTTGCTCTTCAACACTTTAAAAAGGTCTTGGGTAACAGATTTGCCTAATACAATATGTCGTTTGATTTCTTGAGTACTGCTTCCATGAGTGTTAATGGTTGATCCAAGAAGAATGGCAACTTCAATCTTTTCTCTGTTGATAAGCATGTCGTTTATTGGTCTAGTAGTGAGGATTTTTGTTTGCTTTACATTGAGATGCAATCCAATGGAAAGCTGTGGTCTTTGATCTTCATCAGTAAATACTTTAAGTCCTCCTCACTTTCAGCAAGCAAGGTTGTATCATCTGCATATTGAAGGTTGTTAATGAGTCTTCCTCCAATCCTGACACCACTTTTTTCTTCATATAACCCAGCTTCTTGGATTATTTGCTCAACATATAGGTTGAATATGTATGGTGAAAGAATATAAGCCTGTCACACATCTTTCTTAATGTAAAACCATTCAGTGTTCCCATGTTCTGTTTGAACAACTGCCTCTTGGTCCATGTACAGATTACTCATTAGTACAATTAAGTGTTTCGGAATATTCATTCGGAATATTCGCAATGTTGTCCATAGCTTGTCATGATTCACACAATCAAAGGCTTCTGTCTAGTCAATAAAACACAGGTATACATCTTTCTGATAT